GCCAATCTTCTGTTCAGTGTGAGGGTTTACCGATATGGATCCAATCCCATATCTAGCCCAAGCTATCCTCATGGAGTGTGAAAAAACTCTCACAGGCAAAATTTAATATTTATGTTTGGATTTACTAATGTGATATCAATTTCACATCTAATCCAAACAACCTCATGAATGAAATACCACTCCTAGACAAATCTTATATTTGGATTTACCGATATGACGTCAATCTCATATCTAGCCCAAACAACCGTATGAGTGAATTATCACTCTCAGACAACCTTTAATAATTATTTTGGATTTATCGATGTGGTGTCAATCTCATATCTAACCCAAACAACCTCATGAGTGAAATATCACTCCAGGCAAACATAATAGCACATGCATAAACCATATATATCAAGATAATAATAATTATCCATCATAACTTTATTTTAGATACAAATAACTGTCACCATAAGGCGTAAACTGGAGGAAAAATAACTGTCACCACAAGACGAAAAGAAACTAACTACAATGTAGCATATATAAAAGAAATACTGGACATCATAACATAATGACTCTCAAACACCTATCTGAATCACGTGCTTTATAAATACTTTATTATCTTTGGCTGAAGACCTTTAGTGAGAGGACATGTAACAATCTTTCTATAATTATATGGGGAAATCTTAATAGTACTTAAACCTTAACCTTTTCACGCTGAAAAATGTACTTTATGTCAATGGGCTTACTACGCTTGGTCACCGTTAAAATTTTTCATATACTTAATTAATATAAGCCTTTTGAAAAAGTTCAAATATTTCAGTAGCATGATCTATGTGGATTCTAAAGCCAAGGACATACTTTGCATACCCATATCCTTCATGTCAAAACTTTACATAAAATTCTTAATATCATGTATCACATGAATGCCATTGCTACCTTGCAAACTATCATCAACATATAGGACAAGGAAAACAAAATGACTCCCACTGAACTTGAGGTATATGCATTTATCCATAATATTCTCTTTGAACTTACAATTAGTAATCACTGTATCAAAATTTTGGGTATTACTGCTGTAAAACTTTCTTAAGCCATAAATGAGCGATAATGAAAGAATGACTCTTAAAAAAAAAATCATTTAATTAAGCTGGAGAAAATCTCAAAGAAATCAACACCTAACTTTTGCTTAAGCACTTGGCCATCAATTTTTGTTTTATATCCACCAGACATCTCAAAATTACCAACTACAACATACTTCCAAGCTCTAGAAAATCTCATAAGCTAAACTGGCTTAGGAACTAGATTGGAAACTGAAAGAAAGGTCTGCAAAGGAGAAAAAACTGAAAAAGTAGGAATATGAGCTTTAACTGAAACCACTAAAGAAAGTGGAATGAAGCCTGGAATAAATAGAATCGATGCTGAAAATACCCTTCTGCAAAAAGAAACTACAATATCTTAAACTCCCACTGGATTTACCACTCTCATTAAATATGCATGACATATTCCAATAATCTCCATAGGTCTACAGGAAAGTAAAATCTCGAATTCTTTAATCTTTCAAGATGTCTAATAAAATAATCATTGGTAATTTGAGTATTAAGCTCCTTAATATCTGCATTATATAACTATGTCCTATAGACATCCCTACACTTTTTCTTTTCTGCAACTTTATTCTGTTCAGGAAAACTAGGAATGGTGTATTGTGGCACAATGCCCTACTCTTTAAGTATGTATTGAGAATACTACTATTTACACCCTCCTTATCATTCTCCTATTAAAACTCGCCACCTTAGTCTGATCTTAAAACTATAATCTTTCAACTTTAGTCTAGTAGATTTTACACACATGAAGTGCTTCGGATTTCTGGTGGATTAAGTACACAATCATACCTTGAGAACCAATCAATGAAGACAATGAAATACCTTTGCTGCAAACGAGCTACAATAAGAAATGGACCATAAATGTCGGTATAAATATAGTCTAAAAACCAAATGACCGACTAGTCTCAAAATTGCGTTTCTTAGCATTTGTCCTTTGACATAACCAACGCATAAAGTTTTGTGGTCTAATAGTCTCATTCTCGACCAAGCGTTCAAGTCTCTTTTGAGAGACATTCCCCAATATCCTATGCATAGCATGGATGAATCCTCTCTAACCAAAGCACGATTTTATTCAGAAGGTATCGAGTCTATAGAAAAACAAGAAACAAGTAGGATCACACCCGAATCCATCCACCACGTTAATACCTATACTTTTACCAAATTAGGCTCAAATATTAATATGACAATTTTCTTTCATGCTTTGTTTTCTTTTCCACCACAATAGCTTTTTCTTTTAATATCCTTTTATTTCTACAGAACTATCATTTATCATTCCATGATCAATGTCTTTTCATGTATTGTTCTGCCTTTCTTTGTTAGCCTTATACACTTTCTTGCCGCCTAGTTTCTTCTTGAAACTATTTTTACTATCACCGCAAGATAAGCTGATTCAGTTTTAACACCCTTGAGTGGCTCCATTTCAATCACACAAAGTGCTAACAGTTGATTAATGCCACATTTAACTTCTTGTGAATTATAATTCACCTTGAAAAACTGGAAAAACCTAAGCAGAGAATAGATCACCATGTGAACTAATAACTTTTGATCAAATATGATTTTGTACTACCTCATATCATAACCAGCTTGCACATCATATAAATGTACTCTCTCACTAAACCATTGCCATCATATCTAACATAAACCATGTTATATAATAGTATTGTAGTTGCTTCTTAATGTCCATTGACTTTTTCTTGATAAAATCAAGAAGCTCATTGGTAGTATGAAAACCAGAATACCACTCTGAATAGTATCACCAATAGAAGTATAAATTAACCTAATGGCATGGTAGTACCTTTAGTCCACCTAAAATGTAACAATTTTCTATCTAATAAGACTCCGCACTGGGCATATGGGTTTCTTCCTCAAAAAAACATAAGCTCATGGTCTAAGAAATCCAATATAATATCACAACATGTCTTCTAGGTAATATAATTTTAACCATTCAATAGTTCAATCCCTATGAGCTATCTTTAAATTGCGGAAGCGTCTGTAACCAGAATAAATGTTATATTGAATAACATCACATAAACAACATATAAAACAATATGTCATAGCTTCAGGGATTATTACTTTAATTCGTGCTTGGGGTTTTAAGCCGAATTTCTCAGGGTGTTTTACTATGTGCAAAACTGTCCACCCTACGAGAACAGATAAAATGTCATCTAAAAATCACTTTTTGGCAGAATTTTAGATTTTACTTTACCTCCTAAACTTGCGATAAATTATCACATAGACCTATTTGATTATAATTGAATTATTGCTAAACACTTCCACTACCTTTGGCAAGAGGGTTATTTAGTTATAATCCAAACACTCTCAAATATTCTACTCACTTATCCCACACTAAGACATCGATCACCTTTTGGCAGAGCAAATGCTCACATGTAGGTAAGTGCACTGTGAGACCTTAATAAAACCAATGTCTTAAAATTTAATAAAATAATAACCTCCGTGAACGTGTCACCTTTTGGCAGGTAGCACCCACTTTAGCTATTACCTTTGAAACGGCCACTTGACCGGTCTTCCTAAACCCCAAGGAAAAACCTAAACTGAAATTCTATTTATTTAAGTTAAACAATTTCTTTATAATGCACATAAACTAAACCCAAATATTATAGAACACTTAATTTCACCGTAATATAAATAGCTTTAACATAAATAATATTAAGCCTCCTCAAACATACCAAGAAATTACAGTGAACAATACAATAACATGAACATCAATCAAGATTTAAAATCTTAATTCTTTATATATACAACAGTCAATTCGAATCAATTCAGCAAACATCCGTTGCCGATTACCAAGAACAAATATTTCGCACTCATAGAGGCGAAACCATATAGATTATTCATCAAGTTAAATAAATTGATTATTTCCCGTGATTTCTACAATAGAAAATTATAAATCTAACTTGGCTCTGATAGTAATTGTTGGGTTTAAATAAATAATTCACATGTAGAAATCAAGAATATTACAATTAATTAAATAGGGAATTTAGGCTCGTACCTGATTAATGATTAACGCACATATACCTTTGAGAATTCCTTATGGCCCTTTGAAAGATCTGAAAAAATAGAGCGCTTTACCTCCTTCTGAAAGTTATCGATACGATAGGTCTAAATAAGGGTTTTAATACCCTTATATATAACACCAACAGGGGAGACGACTTCTTTACAAACAAGCATATCTAAGTCTCCCTTCCTATCATGGAAACTTAGATATCAATTGTTAAAATTAAATCACACCAAATAAGTTAGAAAATCACAATCTAACGGTATAAAACCATACTCCCAATTAGACCACCAAATTGAAAAGTACAACCCAATCCATCAAGTATCAATAATCACATTATAATTCTATTTTAGAAAACGTAATACATAAGACCATAAAATAATTTTTATTATTTAAATATATATATAAAAATTCCAACACGGTGTTCTCACCCGTGCACTCGTTGTGACAATCGCGATGATCTTTCCCTACAAAATTCTAGTTGCACAATTAAAATAAACATGCATAATTTTTTTGGTAGATAATTTAAGGACGTTAAATCAAGAAAAATAATAATAATAAAAAAAGGACGTTTAGACCACACCGTACATTTATTGAAAAGTTTTGAATCTGTCCGACAAAACAATGTGTAATTTTCAGGGTAGCTTGTGTATTATTGTAGGTGCATTAACAAATGATATAAATATATACATATGCCGATTGCCAATTAACTTTATACAACACGATTGGGAAGAGATTCGGTTTTTATAAAGTTATTAGGATAAATAGTGTCGCAAAGAATAATTAATTATTGTGATATGATCACATCAGCAATTTCTGTCTTGATTGCCACGTGCAGTTACATTACTGGTTAGAGTATCAAGCAAAGTCAAGTCAATAATAATATCTAACTGACAGTTTTGGAAAAATGAGAAGCTAGAGAGAGAGGACGCTAGAGAGAGGTGTTTTAAACTGAGAAAGGAAAGATCATCGCGATAGTCGGATCCATTTCTGTCCCAATTCGGATCCTCCAAATTCATCTTCCAATTCCTGCAAACATATATAAATATATATATATATATATGTATATGTATAGACAGAGAAAGTTTTAGTGAGAGAAAGTGTTGGAGATCGAAGAATTATGGGGGTGGATTACTACAACATACTGAAAGTGAATCGAAATGCGAGCAACGAAGACCTCAAGAAGGCCTACCGTAGACTGGCCATGATTTGGCATCCAGACAAAAACCCTGGCAACAAGAGAGAGGCCGAAGCAAAGTTCAAGCAGATCTCCGAGGCCTACGACGTTCTCAGCGACCCTCAGAAACGTCAGATCTACGATCTCTACGGTGAGGAGGCTCTCAAGTCCGGTCAGGTCCCGCCGCCGCCCTCATCCTCCCGAGCCGGCGGTGGTCCTCACCACCACCGCCACCAGCAGCATCCTAACCCTGCGTTTCGGTTCCATCCGAGGGACGCCGATGATATATATAAAGAGTTTTTCGATGTTGGATCCGAGGATGGAGGGCGGAGTCGGGTATTCAAGGATTATACCCATAGGACCGCTGATTCGGCGTCTTCGACAGGGCAGAGGAAGGCCCCTGCTGTGGATAATTTGTTGCCGTGTAGTCTCGAGGAGCTCTATAAAGGGGCGAAGAAGAAAATGAAGATTTCAAGAACGGTTGTGGATACCTCCGGGTATGTAATTCGACAATTTTTCTTTGGTTTGGTTTTATTTTAATTTTATTATTATATTTTTTGGTTTAATTAGAATTCTAATGCAATTTCGGACTTATTTGTTCAATGTGAAATGAATTAATTAACACTAATATTGATGAGTAGAATTCAAATGGGTAAGTAGAATTGTTAACTTAGATGTCTAGTCTGTCTAGAAGTTGCTAAACTCCTTACATTTGTATGATAATGGTGGACTTTCCAAGTATATTCTACGGAGTACTAAATTACTTTAGCTAATCACTTTTTTTGTAGGCAAGTTTGTTTGAATTGCATTAGTTAACCGATGCTGTAGTAATTAACAAATTTAATCAGAATTGTGATAATTGTGTGATGTCAATTGGAATTTTTAAATTTTTGTGTGAAAAGCCTAAAGGCTTTTGTTCTGGCAAGAATTAATTCGTCATGAAGCCATTTGTTAATTTTTTTATTCCAAAACTCCACCATTCAATTAGCAATTTGGGAATACAAGTAATGTTTGCTTTACAAATATACGGATTCTTTGAAATAATTTCAACAGCATCTATCTCCAGGTCGTGGTATATTGTGTCCACCATGTGTATTTCGTAATTAGAGTCCTTATAATAGGTTCCCCGAGAGGAGATTTTCCTCTCATAGTATTTTTTTCATACTTGGTAGCCCTATAAGCCGATTGGAATAAATCTCCAAACTGAGTACCCTTAAACTTCTTTCGTAGCTCAAATTCTAGGCCGCTAAGAGCCAAGTTGACAAACTCTTTTTTAGGTAGAGTGATTTGACACCTATTTCGTGCCTTCTTAAACCTAGCCAAGAATGTCTCAACATCCTCATATGGCAATTGGTGGATCCTAGATAGGTCAGACATAGAGACCTCTGGCTATGTTCTATAAAATTGGTTATGGAAAACATCCTGCATTTGTTGCCAAGTATGGATGGAATTTTGTGTCAGGTTTAGATACCCACTTGAAGGAAGTCTCAGTGAGTGTATTGGAGAATAATTTCATTTTATACCAATCATTGTTACTAAGTGGCCCACACTTTAACGTAAATCGGCCAATATGTTTGAGAGTCGATTGGTCGCCTTCTCTTGAGAAGGTTGCAAAGTTTGGCACTCGATAATTTTGTGGTAGATCCATCCGATCTATCCAATCAGGGAAAGGGTGCCTAAATGTAGGTCGAGTTGCCCTTTTCAAAGCTGGTCCATATTGTTCCTGTATGCCCCAGCTTGCTCACTGGTCATAACCATAAACTGGGCTTGGTTTTGAAAATATTTAGTGGCTGGAAAATAGTGACATATAATTAAAGGTAATGAAATTACAAATTACAAGGATTTAAGTAGAGAAATTAGAGCATGGATAATACAAGGAAAAACACTATAATTAACTAATAATTAAAGAGCAAGAGAATACGACATGAGAGCTAATAAGCTAATAAACTAGACAAAAGATTAGCTACACTATGAGATACTACTAGGAAAACTGGAAAAGATAAAAAGGACCAGTGGCCTAAGGAGATAAGCAAGAGAGGCATAGTGCTTGTCCGGGGCCTTTTGCTCATAGCTTTGGCTGTGTATTTTTTTTTGATAAGTAATAATAAATTAAAAAAAGGCGTTCAATAGGGGAACACGTCCCGTAGACATAAGGGAAACCGGGATCTAAGGCCCCAAAGAATCCAAAAAAGAAATTAAATCATCAGAATAGGAACAAGAACTTCTGTTCACATAACTGAAGAGAGATCGAATAATAAAAAGTTTCAGAGTCGCTGTAGACAACTCCTTTTCTTCAAATATTCTACTATTTCTCTCCTTCCAAATGCACCACCAAATACAATGTGGTACAAATCTCCAATAGTCACGAACACTCCTACTCACACGACAACCTCTCCAAGCATGAATCAGCTCCTTAGTAGAACGTGGCATTACCCAATACATACCAAATAGCCCAAGAATAAGATTCCAGCAATCGTGCGCTACAGAACAATGCATTAGGAGATGATCAACTGACTCCCCATCTTGGTCACCAAATTAACAAAATAATTTCCTCTTTTCCTTAAATTATCGATCGTCAGAATCTTACGCCAAACGGCGGTCCATACAAAAAAAGCCACCCTAGTAGGAGCCATAGAGCGCCATATAGTCTTCCATGGAAAATTATAGGGTGCAAAATTAGACAAACATAAGAACAAAGACCTTACTTCAAAACGACCATGAGAAGAGGGAATCCAAATCAAGTTGTTATAGCCCCTGTCAATTCCTTCCTGCCGATACAATTGATCCAAGAAAATACTTACATCTTCTAACTCCCAATCCTGAAAAGAACGCCGAAAAAGAACATTCCACGTAATTCTACTATTATCAAGCTGATAACAGTTAGCTACGATGGCATGTTTATCAACTGCAATACTATATAATCTGGGAAAAGTACGACATAAAGGATGATTCCCACACCAAAGATCTTCTCAAAAACGAACGCAACTACCATCACGAACTCTGAATCTAGCATGAGAAGTAAAGGCATCCCATCCTTTCCGAATGGATTTCTAAGCCCCAACTCCTCCCGCAATAGAAACTGGACGTGTAGTCCTTCCGCCAACATCATCCCCATACTTGCAGGAAACTAATCTATGCCAAGGGCGGTGTCTTTCCTTCCCATATCTCCACAACCATTTGCCCAGAAGAGCTTGATTAAAAGGAATCAATCGTCTAATACCGAGACTCCCCAGTTTTATAGGCTTGCAAACTTGCTTCCATCTAACAAGGTGATACTTGAACTCTTCTCCCCTTCCTCCCCAAAGGAAGTTTCTTTGAATTTGTTCAATTCTATCAGCAACGGAGCATGGAATTTGGAACATAGAAAGAAAATAAGTGGGAAGGCTTTGATAAAGTGCTCTTGATAAGAGTAACTTTACCCCCCTTTGACAAATATTGCTTCTTCCAACCTGCCAACCTCTCTGCATACCTATTAATCACAGAATTCCAATGCCCCACTAATCTGGAAGAAACCCTTAGGGGCAATCCCAAGTAAGGGATATGAAAGGAACTCATCCTGCACCCAAGAACTGCAGTTAGAGAAGAGATGTCCTGAACATTCCCGACCGGAACAAGCACACTCTAGGCCACGTTAACCTTTAGCCCGGAAACTGCCTGAAAGCAAGCCAGAATGTATCTCAAATATCTAAGTTGAGACACATCTGCATCACAGAAAACCAGAGTGTCATCTGCAAATAACAGATGAGAAATCTCCACCTGATTTGCAATATCTTTTCCCACCCAAAATCCTTTGATGAGACCAAGATTCTCTGCCCGGCGTATAAGTCTGCTTAATCCCTCCATAACAATAAGAAAAAGAAAAGATGACAATAGATCACCTTGTCTTATACCCCGAGAGCATCCAAAAAAACTGGCTGGAGAATCATTCACAAGAACTGATAACTTAACAGACGAAAGACGTGTCTTAATCCATGTCCTCTATCTACTTCCAAACCCCATTCTTTGAAACAAATAGAGAAGGAAATTCCAATTTACATGATCATAAGCTTTCTCAATATCAAGTTTACACAGAACTCCAGGAACACCATTACGTAACCTTGAATCCACACATTCACCGGCGATAAGAACTGAATCAAGAATTTGCCTTCCTCCAACAAAGGCATTATGAGAATCTGAAATAATCCCATCCATAACTTCTCGCATTCTTTGAGCAAGCATCTTAGGTATGAGTTTGTAAATACAACCCACTAAGCTAAGAGGATGAAAATTCGTAATATCTGAAGCGTTTCCCTTCTTAGGTATGAGGGCAATAAATGATGCATTAAGCGATTTCTCAAATACACCTGTAGAATGAAACTCCTGAAAGGTACTCATCACTTCATTTCTCACAACCGCCCAACTTTCCAACAAAAAACGCATAGTAAACCCGTCAGGCGCCGAGGCTTTATCCCCATTGCAACTGGATAAGGCCTTTAGAACTTCTTCTTCAGTAAAAGGAAGCTCTAGCCCATCTCTATCCATCTCAGAAATAGCCTCAAAAGGAAGACCATCAAGCTTGGGTCGCCAACCTAAAGGTTCAGTATAAAGCTTCTGATAAAAAGAAACGATCCCGCTACGCACCTCTTCCTCCCTCCACAACTCCACGCCTTTTACCCGAATACGTCCTATGTGATTACTCCTTCTATGGGCATTAGCAAATCTGTGGAAATTTTTTGTATTACGGTCTCCCTCTTTTAGCCAAAGAGCCTAGGATTTTTGTCGCCACGAAATCTCCTCCATACAAGCAATCTCAGCAAAAACTGCCTGACAGGAAGCTCTTCTAGTACAAAGAGACTTTACATTCCCACCCGCCTCTTCTAGCCGATCAATCTCAGAAAAATCAGCAAATACTTTGTTCTTCCTCCATTCAAGGTTCCCCAAAACATCCTTATTCCACTGCTTAAGAGCGAGTTTGAGAGCTTTTAATTTCTGTGTTAATATGAAGTTGGGCGCACCTGTAACGATCGCTCCCTCCCAGCATGAGCGAACTGTCCCTTGGAAGTCCTCTGCTCTCAGCCACATATTCTCAAAACGGAATGGGGTTTTTCGATAACACAAACCCTCACAATCCAAAACTAAAGGAACATGATCAGAGGTAACCCTTTCTAATACCCACCTGAACAACATCTGGGAATTTTTCTTCCCACTCCCCAAAGATCAAAAATCTATTCAATCTTGATAGAGTAATTGGGTCTCAACCATTAGACTAAGTATAGGTTGCACCTTCCATTAGTATATCAATGAGAAGGTGCTCATCAATGAAGTCAGAAAACTGATCCATGTCTATGGACCTTCTTCCCCCATTAGACCTCTCTGACGGGAATCTGACTGAATTGAAATCCCCACCCAAACACCAAGGTAAAGAGCACAGACCTTGAACATGGCTTAGTTCCTCCCTTAAAATGGGTTTCTCAGTATCAATGACCGGTCCATAGACCCCATAAAAGACCCATTTGAA